CCATCTGGGCTCCTGACTCTTTCTGCAGCCTTTCTACTGCTACTTCTCCACTCCTTCTCACGGCTATCTTTCAGCCGCACCCCTGACCTAAGGGTAGGTAAGATCTAACATCTTGACCTTAAGCAGTTGCAATCGCCGTATAACGCTTTCAAAAAAAAAAACTCTGGCCGCAAACAGAAGATTTGATCCCCCTATTGCCAATATGGCGCGCAATTGCCTACTGAATAGTTGTCGGCCGCGATTTTTTTTTAATTCTTTTTTTCTTTCTTTTTTTTTACTAAAGAGAAGCACATCGACACAATAATGACCATTTAGTGATGAGAAAAAGTAAGAGAGACAGCCTGAAAAAACAGAGGGAAAGCAAAGAACACCAGCTGATATCATGACCTACCAGTGGCGCCCTCCAACAATCTGCGCCACGATTTTCATCAAACTGAACCCGAGCGTGACCTAGAAAATAAAATATGTTGGATTTTGCAAGACAACATCAAACTGTACTGTAATGGCAGCTTTTACCCTCTCACCCACCCCAGCCCCTTCCTCTCAACCTTTTCCAAGAAAGACAAGCATTCTCGTCGTCCTCAAATGTATCAAAATACATCAAAATAGAATTTGACGAAATATTCTGCAGTGTGCACGAGGAATTTACCAGACATCCCACGTTGAACTTGGTCCCGACACACCATAACAACACAACAGTAATATCCTCGTCAACAGCAGCTCCCCAGCTGAGATGAAAGATCTTGGTCTCGCTTTGGTCGGTTTCCACTTGAAAATTGGCTGGTTGTCGTGGTCCTTAAAACAAAACAACATTGCCATGACATAATGCGAAATTTGTTTCAGTAGGAGCAAACTGTAAGATTTTTGCTTGTATTGTATCTACATTATTTATTTATGAGACACACACATATTATAATATATTCTTCACACCTCATATTGAAGGCAATATCTTGATTAATACTTATCGAATCTGACTGAACATTTCAAATAAGACAGTGCATTCATTTTACTGTAAGACAAATACGTGGAATGCAAAGTTAAGAATGATTTTAACTTTCAATTTTGAACTTATAGTTGTCAGGGGTCTAAACGAAAAGTGACAGCTTTCAGTAACGTGCGATGACATCTGGCGTAGCCATATCTTCACATCGTCGACGCATGGACGGGATGAATCGAGATATTGTCTATAAAGGGATAATAATAATATTTCACTCTAGAATTAAGGCTTGTTTTAACTAAGCAAGGGTACGGGGATGGTGTGGTCTGGCACGAATGGCGCTATCTAAAATGTCCCTCAAGAGCTCAATTGGATTGAAATTTGGTGAATGTGCTGGTCATGGGTGCAGGAGAGGAATGTTGTTAGTTTTGAGAAATTGATTTGTCACAGCAGCATCATGTGCAGGTGCTTTTTCATGCATAAATGCTTGTCCTTGGGCTTGATATTGAAAGAAAAGCACATTGGGCTCGAGAACTTGGTTGATTTAGTCAGTTGTGCCCAGTGAAGTCTGTGCTGGATGTGATGGGGGTGCAGTTTTAAGCGACAAACCAGGCCCCTATCACGAAGGTTCATATCTTTAAAAACGAAGAACAGTCATGTCAAAGATCGGACTGTCATTTTAAGTCTTTTCGACTCATCGTGAGTCTATTGTTTGCCGGATTAAATTGATTGCGTTAGGATGAATGCGTCCAACATCCGATTTGTCTTTCTGCATCCTACTCGTTTTGGTCGTTCCTTTCGGGAGCCTATTGTTGCCATGTGATCCCGTGTGGCATACACAGAGTGTCTGCTCACGCTAAAACTTCTCGCGACCAATGAGAGCGGAGTGGCCACCTGAAGCATTTCAGTGATGTGATTTTCTTCTGATTTATTCTGCCGAAGCATGGTGAATCGATAAAGACAAGCCTCTTTTTATGTGGCGAAAATTTTGGAAGGAGCCCATTTTTTCGTGTGTAATCTTTTATTTCAAATTTACCCACACATTTTCACAGTTTTTGACAAAATATCAAAACGTTGGGAATGACATAGTCAGATAAAATGGTAAACCAGTGCACCCTAGTGAGTACACTTCACGAACGACAATGAGCGTGCGTGACATGTGTAAAAATTTCAAAGTCATTGGAAGGGGGCTCTCGTGGCCTAGAGGTTAAGGTGTTGGCCTCTCATTCAAAGGTCCCGGGTTCGATTCCGGGTAGCGACAAAAAAAAT